GGCTCAGTGTTGTAACACTTTTTTTTTTTTTTTTTTTTTTTTTTTGCTTTTTGGGTGATGCTCAGGGGTTACTCCTGGTTCGCATTCAGGAATCACACCTGGAAGTGCTCCAGGAACCATATGGGATGCCAGAGATCAAACCCAGGTCTGCTGCATGCAAGGCAAATGCCCTACCCGCTGAACTATCACTCCAGCGCTGTAAAATATTGTTTATTGTATCTTGCACTTCTAGTGTAAGGACTTTATGATGTTGCTGGTTGCAGCAGCTTTAGAAATTGCTTGTTCTAGGGAATAGCTTGGTAGAACTAAACTGTACAGATATTGCGATATCTGGCTATGTGCTTATGTGCCTACACATAAGCAAATTATTATTACTAGTTAAGGGAATATGCCATACATATAGACCCTTTCATTATCTAAAAGAAAAAAGAAAGCATTAACAATAAAAAAATGAATAAACAAAACCCCCAAATCTTTAAGTGCAAATTAATATTTGTATCTATATTTTATTCATAGCAAGCAATACAACAGAACTCCCAATTTACTCCCCAAAAATCTCTTGGCACATGGAAAGAAATCTATTGAAAATAGTATATGTTTAAACTTGTTTAAAAAGTTATGCAATATTATTTGGAATAGACTCTCTGAATATAAAATTTAATAGAACAAAAAAATTTAAATACTGTATTTGACCTATATATGGATACAAGGACCAAAGCAGAAAATCTCTTATTTTGAACCTTGCTCTGGACATACATTTGGTTTCTTCTGCAACTTACAATTCCTTGAAAAAAGGAGTTATGGTGAATTTCTACTAGTCTTCTCAGTCAACATAAATCCCACTGAGACTGTTCTGTCCACGAGTAATATTGTAACAGTCTTTATATGATTCAACAAAATGTTTTTCCTACTCTTTAAACAATGGGTAGTTATACAGTTAAGTAACATCAGTAAAATTTTTCCCCCAAAAGCAGAAAGAAGCTGCAAATAGGGTAATAATGATTTTTTTAAAAACTGTCAAATGGAAAAAACAACAAAATATACTGGAAGATAATCTTTATTCAAATTCTACTACAACCAATAGGAAAATGTCCCCCCGCCCGACAAAACCTCACCAACACTACACTAAATTGAAAGAAAGAACCAAATTAAGTTCCTTTGAGTAGCTGAGGTTTTTCTCCACAGCAGACTCAGAATAAAAAATAGAAAAGCATAACTTTAATAAATAACTTTTTTGTAAATGAATATCCCAATTGTTTTTGAGTTCCTGTCATTAAAAAAAAAACAATAAAATCAGCTTAAAATAAATTTATTGTACAATACAAAAAGTATGCATACTGCAAAATAAAAGATACATTATTAAATATACATAGCAAATGAAAGCTAAATAACATAAATGTTTTAATCCAAACACTAAGATAAAATGCACAACATTTATGCTAAAATAAAATATTTCAGAAAGAATATGCATTTCAAATGAAATGTTAATGATGAAAAAATGAAAAACAAATATGCTAACTTCTAAATGCTTGAATATCAAGAATCAGTAATGGTGAGAAACATTAAATCAAATACTACTGGGTACTTTTCAAGAACTTTATTTAAAAAGTGCCAAAAATTCTAAAGGAACAAAAACAATGCCCTTTAAATCTGGCAATGACTTTCCTTTTTTTTTTTATTAAAATGTGGGGCCCATTCACAGCATTTTCCTTCTTTTTCCATTTATACCTTCCCACAAAAACTTCTCAGTGTTAATCCCTTAGAAAAAGTTCATAAACAATAAATAATCTGTTAAATATGGTTGATAAGAGTGAACTTAAGGCTTATCAACATGCCATATATTACCAATTTTGAAATCCATACAAATAAGGACACAGTATGAAGTATCACATTTTAATTTTGTGAACTAAAATCAACCTCCAAACCAAATGGCAAAATGTAAAAATTTATAGCCGAAGATGGGGAATTAAGGGTATTATATAAAAATTATCAGTTAAGGCATTCAGATTCCCATACTACAAATGGCTTTGGTGAAACTAACACAAATAACACTATTCAAAGTTGTGGCAGAGATGAGACATTCCACATACTATGTCTCCTGTAATACATCAAACCTGAAGCATCCAGTTAGGATACATATCTGTACAAAAGAGGAACATTCAAGTAACAATAAAATAGTTGAAAAAAATCTCTAAAATTAACATGCCATGTAAGTTTAATATTTAAATTAGCCCAAAAAACTTCTACTTTTCTTTAAAAAATTTCCAAACATCAAGATTTTAATTGTAATTTAAACTAACCACCTTCTTTTCTTTCTAGACTATGTGTACTTTTGAAGGTTTTATCCTTCTATACACAAGCCATTATGTTAAGAAACTATCAAACACTATAAAGCTTATCCCTGTCCCTCTAATTATTAAAAACAAAAAAGCCTACCAATCTAGAAGAAACTGTAGGGAATGGGGCTAGGGGTTGAAATGGGTGGGGAGAGCCGAGTGGTATATGGAGGAAGGAAAAGGTGTGAATAGGTTCTACAAAATCTTACAAATACTTTGTCAAGACAGACTTTAAACACTGAATAACTTGAAATCAAGTAGTGTAGAACCTACAGTTGTAAAAAGAGGTTCTGACTCTTAATATATATTTTTATAACCGAAGAAAAGGATCCGGTTCTAAGAAATATTTTAGAATACTTACTACCTTATGATCGAATTCATTCCCTAAGGACTCTAAGAGTTTAATAGAACAAATTCTATATAATAGTGTAATGTATCTTAGAAGGTTCATTAGCAATTGTGAAACTGTAGAAAAAAAAATTAAAAGCAAAAAACCCCCAAAATTCACCATTCATACTTAAATGTAACAGAAAAGGTTACGTGGATAATATGAAAATATAATTGTTAAGGTAAACATTTTACTTTAGACAGTCACTGTCACTTCTGAGTAACCATTATAGCTATTTCAACAGTGAAAGATGTCATTATCTTACATCTGAAATTCTTTGGCTGACATAACATAACACACTCCTGTACATGAGAATTTTGAGAGAGCATAGAAGTTGCAAAATTAAAAATCAAAGGCAAGTCAGATTTTAAAGTAGTTAATAAAATCTGAAATGAAAGTTTAAAAAATTTAAAGTCAATCACCAAAATGGCATAAAATGTAAACTTACTTGAATTTTATAAGAAGCTGTAATACTTTGTGATTCATTATTTTGCCTTTTTATATTCAGCATACTATAACTTTCTAATATGCTACAAAATCATGTAAATTTTAAAAACAAAATGCAACAAAACTGGTTTAAGATCTGGGTTTTCAGAACTAATTACAACTTTCTGATACTATTTTAAAATGGAAATATCTGGCTGTATGCTTACAATTTTTTATACATCATAAAAATTTAAAAGAATTTTTCCCTTTTTGTTTAATAAAGCAAGTCTGCTTTATTTACTTATAAATCTTTCTTATAAAGACTAATAAATCCACTTTTCAACCTAGTATCTTTATACAAAGACTAAAAGAAAAAAGCTTTATGGTTCTAGCACCCAAGGTTAAAAAAACACAAAAAGCTCAAATAAATATTTAAAGTATGCAAAAAAAAAAAATGAAGATGTCTGAAGCATTAAATGAAGAACATTCTGAAACTAGAACCCATTTCTTTAGCTTTTCTCTCCCAGACTTTCCATTCTATATACTACAGTTGTAGAGATGTCCTCATTTGACTCAGGTGAAACTTTTTTCCATACTGTCTCTTTTAAAGCAAGTTCTTGTTGGAGACTTTCATAGTCCAATGGTCCAAAGGAATGCTAGTTGTTCAAGCAACATACATAATTTATTAGTGCACTTGAGTGAAGAAAGGTCCAAGCTATAAAATGGTATTTTTCAATGAATGTTATTGAAATTTGTTAACATTTTCACCCACCACCATTTGATGTTTTGCTGTTACTCAAGTTGATTCTCATGAAAGTTTTTATTATGTATAGTTTGCATGAGTCTCATAATATTACCAAAAGTTAATCTGATTAAAACTAATGATGGCGGGCTGGAGTGATAGCACAGCAGAGAGGGTGTTTGCCTTGCACGCAGTCAACCCAGGTTCGATTCCCAGCATCCCATATGGTCCCCTGAGCACCACCAGGAGTAATTCCTGAGTGCAGAGCCAGGATTTAGCCCTGTGCATCGCCGGGTGTGACCCAAAAAGGAAAAAAAAAAACAAAAAAAAACAAAAACAAAAACCACAAACATAATGATGGGACATTATATATTAAAAGCCACTTTCAACTTCTATGTGCTTCATATTAGCTTTAGGTATAATTAGGCCATTTTACTATTAGCATTTCCCATATGGGATATAAGGAATTTAATAGAAACTTAATAGGGTGAATTCAGTTCAGTTAAAAAAAGGTAAATAAAAATTACTGCAATTTAAGTCATCTTCTTAATATTATTTTAAAAGGGTATTTATATATGCAATAAAAAAAGTGGAATGATAAATTATATGGTATTATGGTAAGGAAAATTGCACTAAATACTTTTCATAGAAAAATATTTCATCGACAGTGGTTTAAAAACTTACAAGGATTTGTAACATCAATAAATATTATAAATCCCCTTTCTATCTACAAATTCTTCATGTAATAAAATTCAAGGTTTTAGCTGAACAAAAGCTAAAAGTGAAAACAAAGTTTTCTTATTATAGCTATTAGCATTGTCCAATATGCTTACTTTAACAGAATCTTTATGAACATTGCTAAAAAATGGCAGAAAACTGGGTAAATGGGAATGCTGCAGCCATGCTAATCAATTTAAAAGAAACAATATTTTACAAATTATATGTAATACTGGTCCAGGATGAAAATGTCAACAATTCATTCACAAACATTTCTGATAAGCGAAGACATGAGGTCACTAATAATCTAAATTTTACTTCAACAAGTGAATCTCACTTTCTGTCACTTAAAAAAATATTGCATAATCATCTAAATAAATATTTTGCTTACCCTTTGATCACCACCTTCTCTTCGAGGATCAAGTTTTTTTGCAAAGTGTCTCAAATTATCATAGTTATGAAAATTACAGAGAGATACAAGATCCTGTAAATAAACAACAGGTATAAGAAATTGGATATTCACTGACTACTGTTCTTTCGTATTTCAGCAAGTTATACTTATGAATCCAACTTTACTACATATGAACTCACTGCATATAAATAAAACAGCTTAGTACCTCAAGAACCAAAATCAGAATAAGTCAAGATAGGGCTTAACCCAAGTGTTTAACTTTCATTTTCTTTTAAATTTATTGCTACGAGAAACAATTCTATTATATACCAATTAAGTATCACTATATCACTGTCATCCCGTTGTTCATCGATTTGAGTGAGCGGGCGCCAGTAATGTCTCCATTCATCCCAGCCCTGAGATTTTAGCAGTCTCTCCTTACTTGTCCTTCCCAGGAGTGCCTTTTTGGAGGCTCTTTCAGGGTCAGGGGAATGAGACTCGTTATTGTTACTGTTTCTGGCATATCGAATAAGCCATAAGGAGCTTGGCAGGCTCTGCCGTGTGGGTGGGATACTCTGGGTAGTTTGCCAGGCTCTCTGAGAGGGATACCAATTAAGTACCACAAAAGAACAAATATTCTTATAATAGATGATAATCTATAGACAATTTAACATTTTCTTATTTTAAAAAAATCAGATTTTTTTTACTTGAGATAACATTCAGTGGTGCTTATATAAGGGCTTACTCCTAACAGTGGTCAGGGACCACCACCGATGGTGTTTGGGGGGTCATAAGGGATGCAGGAAATCAGACCCAGGTATAATCTACCTTCTGCATAAACTCTCTTCCCCCAACAAGCAGCAAAGATTTGAGTAAAAACATAAAATATTGAACTAGTCAAAAGTAATATAAAATTTAGATAACTTAATTTTCTGAAACAACAAAGCAAAACAAGTAGCTTATAAACTCCTTGGGAAAATTAAAGATGACACAAATAAGGTGCCAGACAGTACAGTGAGTAGGGTTCCTGTACACTGAAAACCTGGGCTTGATCCCCAGCAGCCCGTAAGTTCCCCTCGAATAATGCCAGAAGTGATTACTCAGCAGAGCCAAGAGTAAGCCATAAGCACCTTTTGAGTATGACCCCCAAAACAAACCAAAGACACAAACTATTTTAATCTTATGTTGGCTTAGGAATACTTTTCTGTTTATATCATTTGCAGAGCTTTTAGAAACTCACAAACTGCAACTGAGAAAATATAAATATATAAGTATCAAACAAGTGTAATTTTCTGTAAGAATGATTATATGGGAGCTATTTAGCTGAACAGTTTTCTTTGAATGTTCCCAAGCAGTGATCAGAGGACCAGGGAGACTCTCCTGGAGAGCAAGGGAAGAGTTCCATGCTTGAATATGGCAATAAGCACTGGTTAGGGTTACCAGGTACACCCTTGCAGTGCTTGGAGATGTTCATGTGAGGTATATCCTCCATAAACCTTTGATCTCCCATATCCATCAGCACCCCCACCTTCAAATTACGTATTGAGTACCAAACTGTACAGCTACTTGGTGATCAGGAGATAAGAAAAATCCCTACAACTAATATACTGCAAAAAGAGTAAAAACAAAATATCCCACAAGGATTGGATGATGGCTTAGCATCTCATGATAATTTTCATTAAGAAAATATGCTTACACACAGAGTCAACAACACTGAAAAAAAGCGATCTAAACTTTTAACAACCAATCTTAAAATTGTGCCTATCAGAAGACAGATAGGTAGGAGGGAACCTGGGAACCCTGGTGGAAGGATGAAGATCATGTGGGGTTGGTGCTAGAACAGAGTATGTCTAAAGCCCAACTATGAATAATGTTGTAAATAACGGCATTTTAATAAAATTTTTACAAAAAAAATATGCTTACATGACAGAAGTGAATTCCTTTAACACTATTGCCCATTTTGTCCAGAGGAGGAGACCAGCACATCATGCCCATGACATTGGGGACAACCAAAAGAATTCCCCCAGCAACTCCGGATTTTGCAGGAAGACCAACCTGAGAATTTTTCAAAAGGAACATTCATGTTAAAATTTTAAAGAAAGAAAATGTTATACCAATACCAACAAAAAAGGTATTGGTTTGAAAAATAAGGGTAACTTTAACAATTCTAGTAAATTTAACGGGGCTGGAGCAATAGCACAGCGGGTAGGGCGTTTGCCTTGCATGCAGCCGACCAGGTTCGATTCCCAGCATCCCAGATGGTCCCCTGAGCACCGCCAGAAGTAATTCCTGAGTACATAACCAGGAGTAAACCCTGTGCATCACCAGGTGTGACTCAAAAAGCAAAAAAAAAAAAAAAAAAAAAAAAAAAAAAAAAAAAAAAAAAAACCAACTAAAAATTCTAGTAAATTTTAAATATGGTAACATATGGTAAAATATGTAATATTATTATACTTATAACACATCAAGTCACATAAAATAAGCTACATTTAAAAATATTTTAAAAATGAAGATACACTTGAAGGAATCAGGTTAGACTTGGTACATCTGTATTGTGGCACTACGTATGTTTTCATTTTATGGTATTTTATGATATTTCTAATTATTAGAATAACCACAAATGTTTTAGTAGTAAGTTATTTTCAAATAAAACATCTTTTCTTGTCCTGTACTCCCCCATTCAATCTGAGCTGCCACAATCAGACAGGCAGAAAGCGCGAGGACTTTTTTCTTGCATCCATAGTGGAAACCTTGGCAGCAGATTAAGCAACTGCTAGAGGTCTGTCAAATAGATGCATACATTTTTTTTTAATTAAAGCAGTAGTAAATATATAATTTTATTTGGCATACTATCAGAGAACATCTCAGAAACAAGAAGACAGGGTGAGAATTCAAACCAATCCTATTCAAAGTCCTTACGTTTACATTATGTAAAACCTGATCCTGATAATAAAAGATATCACCTATGCAGTGTTCATTACTTATTTCAGGCATTTAAGTAAGTCTTAAGAAGAAAATACGCTGAATAAAACAAAGCAAACAAAAAACAAAATCACAAGAATGAGATCTGCTGATCTTATTAGAAAACAAAAAGAACAACCAAATGGGTCTAATATGCAAAATCTAGACTGTAGGAAACTAAAGAGTAATCACCCCAGCTTTCTCAACCAAAAAAAAAAAGGGGGGGGGGGCCAAGAGAGAGCTTTTAAAGACTTTTTAAAAGTCACAATAATCAATAGACACTCCTTGTTTGCATCATAACTCAAATGAACTGCAGAGTAATAGTTTATAAGTCAGAAAATCTATCAAAAAAGATTTTTAAAATTTTGGTGTAATCTGATGACACTGCGATTATAAGAATCCTCACTACAGGACCAGAAAGACAGTACAATAGGTAGGGCTCTGGGCTTGCATATGGCTGACCCAGATTCAATCCTGGGCACTCCACACGGTCACCCTCTCTTCCTAGCCCACTCACCAGGAGTGATCCCAGAATGCAGAGCTAGGAGCCAGGGTCAAGATGTGGCCCCAAAGCAAACACACACAAAAACAGAATACTCATTACAGACTGAATTAAGACTGACGTAAGTAGGTTCACACATAAGTGAAGTTAATGAAGCACTGCACTGTCCTCCCATTGTTTGTGAATTTGCTTGCGCGGGCCCAGTAACGTCTCCATTATGACTTGTTGTTACTGTGTTTGGCATAGTCAGGGGTAGCTTGCCAGGCCTTGCCGTGCGGGTGAGATACTCTCGGTAGTTTGCTGGGCTCTCCGAGAGAGGCGGAGGAATCAAACCTGGCTTGGCCAGGCTGGCCACAAGCAAGGCAAACACCCTACCACTGTGCTATCGCTCCAGCCCTATCTGAGGTGAAGTTAATATTTGTCATATTTGAAAATTACTACAGTAGAGGTTAGAGTGATTGGTACTGTTAAATATACCTCTTTTAAAATTAAAAACAGTACGTTAGAACCTTATAACTCAACACAGGCAGAATAAGTCACATAGACTGTATATAGGAAATATAAAAAATCAAAGAAGTAGAATTTGTCAGCTTTAATTTTAATATACTTTAAGCCTTTAAGCCACCTATGGCTGTAATCCAAGCTGTTAAACATCAATTATGCATTTGATCTCTCTGAACTTAAGGAATTTTAGAGGTAAATAATAACTATTAATTCTAAACACTAACACTAAAAGTAATGACATCTGTATTAAGCACAATATGCATCGAAATGCGTAAGTAGAAGTGACATGGCTCTAGAAATTAAATTTTTTAAGAACATCTTAGACTACTTAACTCTATTTCTTAAACAATTCTGTAACAAATTAACCTTTAAAACAAGCCTCTCTCTCAAAAATTATGTATAGCTTTATAGGCAATGTTCCAATTGCATTTTTCAGAAGAACCAGTCCAGACTGTTTTTTTGCCAGAAAAAAAGATTACACAGTTACTTACATGGAAAGCAAACTGCCCTGAGAAATCATACATGCCACAGGAATGCATCAAACTTAGTGTATTTCGAACAGCTTCAGGACTCAGTACTCTTTCACCAGTAATTGGGCAGAAACCACCATTAGCCAGTGTTGCAGCCATTACACTGGCTGATTCACAAGTTACTTCAATGGAGCATAGCTAACAGGAAAAAACAAAACGAAACAATTGAGAAAATTCTGGCTCACTGTGTTTAGATTTAATAAGTATAAAAAAATTTTTTAAACCTATTTTATCTAGTATTCCATAAAATCAGAAAGCCTAAAAAAGGATTATTTTAATATAGCACCATCCATGTCAGTATTATCATAACATCTCTATGAGAAATAATTAAGAAACAAGTTCTAAACCGTCTGACAGTTCACCTGGAACAAAGCTCAGCATCATCATATGATAACATGTGAAGTACTACAGCAAGAAAACTCTAAAATTATTCTCAGTATAGCTCCCTGTCACAGTCATAGTCCTCCCAGTGTTCATCAATTTGCTCGAGGGGGCCCAGTAACGTCTCTGTCATGAGACTTGTTGTTACTGTGTTTGGCATATTGAATACGTCACAGGTAGCTTGCCAGGCTTTGCTGTGCGGGTGAGATACTCTCAGTAACTTGCCGGGCTCTCTAAGAGGGGTGGAGAAATCGAACATAGCTCCCTGTGTCTAAACCAAAATGTAAATTTTTCTTTTTTTTTTCTTTTTGGGTCACATCTACAATGCACAGGGGTTACTCCTAGTTCCAGGGGACAATAGAGGATGCTGGGAATTGAACCCAGTCGGCCACGTGCAAGGCAAATGCCCTACCCACTGTGCTATTGCTCCAGTCCCACAAAATCTAAGTTTTTAGCCCATTTGTTTACATTCAAATATTTGACTGGATACATGATGATTAATTTATAAAAAGGTAAGGTAAGGTAAAGGCCCTCCCGTTGATCGTCGATTTGCTCGAGCGGGCCCAGTAACGTCTCCATTGGAGACTTTGTTGTTACTGTGTCTGGCATATCCAATACTCTCGGTAGCTTGCCGGGCTCTCCGAGAGGGGCGGAGGAATCGAACTCGGGTCGGCCATGTTGGCCGCGTGTAAGGCCAACGCCCTACCCGCTGTGCTATCGCTCCACTAAATCAACTGTATGATGATATTTTTACACTATTTAAATTTTTTTATTAGAGAATTGTTCATCATAAAGTTGTATACATATTAACCAATAGACATTTTGTAATTACATATTTTATTTACAATAAGAATTGAAGGGAAGCAGGAAATACAAAAAAAGGTTGGGTTAACTACCCTAATACTTCCAAATCTAAAAAGGATTTGGATTCTACAAGTGTATTCTTTCTAAAGGAAGTTTATTAAAAACAACTTTTTTTTTTTCCCTTTTTGGGTCACACCCGGCAATGCACAGGGGTTACTCCTGGCTCTGCACTCAGGAATTACTCCTGGTGGTGCTCAGGGGACCATATGGGATGCCAGGAATCGAAGCTGGGTTGGCATGTGCAAGGCAAACACCCTAGCCACTGTGCTATCCCTCCAAGCCTTTGAAAACAACTTTTGACTTTTACTTGTACCTTAAACTTTTTCTTTTTAAGAACTACAGAGGCTAGGGCTGGAGCAACAGCACAGTGGGTAGGGTGTTTGCCTTGCATGCAGCCAATCCGGGTTCGATTCCCAGCATCCTATATGGTCCCCTGAGCACCGCCAGGAGTAATTCCTGAGTTCATGAGCCAGGAGTAACCCCTGCACAACGCCAGGTGTCACCCAAAAAGCAAAAAAAAAAAAAAAAAAACCCCAAAAAAACAGACCCTACAGAATCTACTTATATTGTCCAGACTGCAAAGACCTAAAATTGATCTGATCATAAAAAGCCTTTCATAAAAAAAAAGTCCAATAATCATTTCAAATTTAGTTGGTACTAATTGGAATCTTGATCATAAGAGTAGTTTCTTGATACTCTGATGGATGGGATGTTCAGTTAGATGTAACCATTCTCCAAAATAGGAAGGCTTTATATGAATGTCTTTTAATTTTTGCCCTGAAGTATAGATAACTTCAGATTAACTAAAGTTATCTAGCAATTTAAAAATAAACTGTTAAATTTAACTTTTAACTAGTAGCCACAGTTAAATAGGTATTCAACAAGATGGGGATGGGGGAAAGGAAACGTGAAGAAATTCACATGAACTAGAAAATAAATTGACTTTTAGGTAAAATACTACACTATATTTCGCATAACATGTACTTTCAAATAAAATTCACACATTATATTCAATGCAATAAAGGGTTGAGCTGAATATATGATATAGATGTGATCCAGGAGTAAGTAAGCCCTGAGAACAGCTGGGTGTGACCCAGAAACAAAACCACAGGACAAAGTTAACAACAACAACAACAAAAAAACCCTACTTCAATTACCAGTCCCCATATATATTTTTATTACTGAAGACATAAAACTGGTGCACCTCTAAAAGACAGGACAGGCATGAGGTCAGACAGTTCACCAGGTGACCAGGATTCAATCTCCAGCATCCCATATGGTACCAAACACAAACCTGAGTAATTCTGACTGCAGAGCAAGACCCTGAGCACCTCGGAGTGTGATCCATAGATAGATAGATAGATAGATAGATAGATAGATAGATAGATAGATAGATAGAAGGCAGGCAAATGTAAACTAGCCATAAACATTAACTTGTTGCAATTAACTTTATACTCTGTCCTCCCATAGTTCATCAATTTGCTCGAGCAGGCCCAGTAACATCTCCATTGTGACACTTGTTACTGTGTTTGGCATATCAAACACGCCACGAGTAGCTTGCCAGCTTTGCCATGTGGGCAAGATACTCTTGGTAGCTCGCCAGGCTCTCTGAGAGGGGCGGAAGAATCGAACCTGGGCCGACCAGGTTGGCCGCGTGCAAGGCAAACGCCCTACCCGCTGTGCTATTGCTCTAGCCCACAACTTTATACTCTGTAAGAATAAATTGAACTGAAAATATAGGGCGACAAGAGGGATGGTCAAGAAGGCTATCTATATATATTTTTTTTTCTTTTTGGGTCACACCTGGCGATGCACAGGGGTTACTCCTGGCTCTGTGCTCAGGAATCATCCCTGGTGGTGCTCAGGGGACCATATGGGATGCTGGGATTGGGATTCAAACCTGGGTTGGCTGCGTGCAAGGCAAACGCCCTACCCACTGTGCTATTGCTCCAGCCCCCGGCTATGTATTTTTTAAAAAATTTGTTTTTGTTTTTGGGCCCCACACACCTGGTGATGCTCAGGGGTTACTACTCCTGAATCTGTACTCAAGAATTAATCATGGCAGTGCTTGGGAAACCCTATGGAATGTGACAAATTGAAATTGGGTCATACACATGCAAGAAAAGGCCCTACCAGCTGTGCTGTTGCTCAGCCCCAAGTAGGCTTTCTTATCTTAAGACGACTTTTATACCACAGAAATTGCAGAAACAGTTCTCATCCTTCATAGAATTAGCTATGTTAGGAGAAAATTTATCATAAGACATTCTAGAATTCAACTTTAAAAGCTAAGAAAACAGTTCCGTTTATAAGAAAAATTAACTTCTGGGACACTACATTATTTTTAATACTTCTTAATTCTAATCTTTTTTGTAGGGCTGGAGCAGTAAATAGTAGGGAGTGCAGGAGGCTTGCCACGTATGCGGATGACTGAATTTCAACCTCCAGCACCCCACCTACACCTTGCCAGGTGTGATCTCCAAGCAAAGAACTAGGATCTGTGATCGCTAAGCCCTGAGAACTGCCAAATGTGTCCCCAAAACAAAATAATCTAATGTTTTGTAGAAAAAATATTTTCACTGTTTGAATCAGAAGCAAGGACTTTTTTAGGAGCTATGTTCACGACTATTTCTCATAAAGACAACGGAAAATTAAGGTCAAGAAAAAATTTATTTTATATCAGTCTAGAGACAAGATTTCAGATACAGTTATAAGTCTGCAACATATGATATGCACATTTATATACAAAATTATATTCTATAAAGTAAATTACCTGAAAATAGAAGTCTAATATACCAACCATGTCTGTGCCTTCTGGAAAACACTGAAAAAAACCAGAAAGATTATTAAAAACATAGATCAAAAAAAAATGTGTTTGTAAACACATAAAATTTTAATTAATATACAGAGATGTTTCACTGGGAATAGCATACATCTATAAAAGGTATAAATACAAAATATAAAAATAAAATTTTAATATATAGGTGTCTAAATGTTAGTTTAGCTGACAATATACTAATTCTTAATTCATAAAACAATTTGTAGAATCAATCATTTAAAAACTCAAGTGCAATGATTAGCAGCCATTATACTTTAGAAAATTAAATGAATCTAATTAATTCATTAGTCATTTGAATTGAACGCTGCATGATACAAACTGTCTTAATAACACTTTTAGCACTGTCAAGTTTTTTAAATTTCTATATATCAAATAGGAGTAGCTGCTTAGCAGCTGAGTTCTCAGCATTCATTTTCACATATTTCATTCCATGAAAGAATTTGAAATAGAAACAAAATTTAAAAACCTTTTTTTCTTTTAAGTAATATCCTATAGCAAAATTTCGATCTCCACTTTCTCTTTCCGACTGAAACCTAAAAGAAAAAACAAATTGCTATTTACTTTCTATACACTTTTATCACAAAATACAGTAGAAAAAATACTCAAAAGCAAAATTGCCAGGTTTCAGTTGTCAGTAGTCTATCTACTGACAAGTCCTGGATGAGTCACTGAAGTGATCATTCTTTCAGCCTTAATTTCTCCCCTGTAAAAGAACTGAAAGGCACTTGATTCATTCTAGTCTTCACATTTTATGAATAAGGAAGCAATTTTGAAATTATAAAATATTCTAATATTAGCTGAAAAATTGTGGTATCACATGGTTCTCCAAAAAGTACAAAAAACCCCCTGTCGTTTCAATTGGGGAAATTCATAAGAAGTTTAGAAAGTGGAACCAATGAAATGAATCTTTCAGCACTGAGAGGACTGGCAAATTTCAAAGGTGAAGCTTAGGAGGAAGCAAATTCCATGCAGCACGAACAAAATTATAAAAGTATAAAAGACAGGGCACCATCTAAGAATGACAAATACTCTAATATATCATGGAAACAAGATTCACAAAGACTGGGAAACAGTAATAATGGAGTTTGGGAGCAAATTATCCAGATACTAAAATGTAATGTCTCCTGGTTGCCTATAAAATGAAATTTTATAGGGGATGGAGCAATAGCACAGCAGGTAGGGCGTTTGTCTTGCACGTGGCCGATTGGGGTTCGATTCCCAGCATCCCATATGGTCCCCCAAGCACCGCCAGGAGTAATTCCTGAGTGCAGAGCCAGGATTTAGCCCTGTGCATCACTGGATGTGACCCAAAAAGCAAAAAAAAAAAAAAGAAAATGAAACCCTAGAGCCTTACAAACAAGTTACCCTACCAGAATTATACTTTAGAAGGATAACTCTGATATCAGTTTAGAAGGGGGAAAAAATGATTGTGTATGTGTATACATACACATGCACACACACACACACACACACACACACACACACAAACAGCCTTCAGAGACTACTGCAATAACAGATGCAGATGTCTCCTGTACTTAGGTAACAGTAGCACTGCACTGTAGCATTGTCCTCTCATTGTTCATCAATTTGCTCAAGCGGGCACCAGTAACATCTCCATTGTGAAACTTGTTACTGTTTTTGGCATATCGAATACACCACGGGAAGCTTGCCAGGCCCTGCCATGTGGGTGGGATACTCTCGGTTGCTTGCTGGGCTCTCCCAGGGGGACAGAGGAATCGAAACCGGGTCAGCCGCATGCAAGGCAAACACCCTATCCACTGTGCTATAGCTCCAGCCCAAAGTTACAGTAATAGAAATAAAAGGGAAGAGGCAAGAGCAATAATACAGCAGGTTGGAAATTTTTTCTGCATGGTGCTGACCCGGGTTTGATCCCTGGCAACCCAAATGATACTCCAAGAACAGCCAGGAGTAATTCCTGAGTGCAGAGATAGGAGTAACCCCTGAGCATCACCATGTGTGACCCCAAAAGCAAAAAAAAAAAGGTAAGGTATGAGGTATGATTCAACATATCCATTGGATAAATCTTTCAATCTGAGGTAAGAAGAGATATAAGGTTAGGTCTGACAAAGAACCTGAACTTTTTTATATAGCATACTAAAAGAATGGGCTGGAGCGATAGCACAGAAGGTAGGATGTTTGCCTTACATGCTGCCAACAGGGACAACCTGGGTTCGATTCCTCCGTCCCTCTCAGAGAGTCTGGCAAGCTACTGAGAGTATCTTGCCCACACGGCAAAGCCTAGCAAGCTCCCGGTGACATATTCGATATATCATAAACAGTAACAACAAGTCTCACAATGTCACTGGGTTCACTCAAGCAAATCGATGAACAACAGGAAGACAGTGCTACAGTGCTACTAAAAGAATGGCCAGACCAACTAAAATAGCGATCCCTAGAAAAAAGAACAGTTTGGAACGAAATAGAGTAAGTTTGATAGTATTTATTTGTGGTACATATAACATCAATTACAAGTGTCCAGACAGCCGCTGGCAAAAGAGCAAGCAGGAAAACAGCAGGAATACAGGAAGAACTGAAAGAAGACTAACAAAGTATAAGGAGGTAAATCTAACAGTGATGATGCACAGAAAGATCATGTAAATTCATTAAAACATGGTTAATATGAAAGCATAGAAGAGGCAAAATGGCACTGATGAGAAGCTTCCGGGAAAACACACAAGCTAATGAATAAATGTTGTTAAGGGATACTACCTAAAGAGATTGTTGTAGGGGGCATCTCCTGTAAAGCTTGGGCAGGAAGCAGTCACTACCAAGGATTTTTGGTCTGGCAGTGGAGGTGGGGGATAGGGTGGGGGGTGGGGGAATGATGGGGGGTGATCAATAGCTCTCTGCTCAGGCCAATGACATTGCTCCTTGGGGACAATGCTAACCCAACAAAAGGGTACTCAGAGTGGCAGGTAGATGGGGTGCCAGAGACCACTCAGGTCTTGAGCATGTTAGATATATATTCTACCACATCAAACGGTCTAAGCTCAGGCAAGGAAACTATATTATAAAAGACATAACAAACAACACATAAATTATTCCTGAACAAAAGGGGCTATAAAAGACAAGGCAAGCGGGAGACAGTTCAGGACATTTTACAGAGTGTTTAATTTTGTGTTGATGGTATTGTGCTTAGGTAGGAAAATGTCCTTATTCTTAGGGAAAACATACTAAATTAACGCTCAGTGCCACACTATCTATTATGTCTAAATATTTCCTCTCTGGGATCATTCATGTCATGACCAAATTTTAAGTAATTATTACTCACTGATGTAAGTTCTAGGACCAAAAGGAAGAATACAATATTCTGATAAACAGTAAGTCAATATGAGTGCATACATGCACACATACACATCCACTTGAAATACAACATAGTCTAGACTTTAAATATTACTTTTTTTTTTGTCTATCTCATCTTATAGATTTTTTTTTTTTTAATTAGTGAAACACCATGAGGTACAGTTGTAGACTTACAAACTTTCTGCTTGGGTTTCAGTTATACAATGATAAAAATGAATACCCATCCCTCCACCAGTGCCCATTCTCCACCACCAATGATCCCAGTAGCCCTCCCACCCCCACACCCCATCCCCCCCACCCGACCCTCCTTCTGTGGCAGAGAATTCCCTTTTGCTCACTCTTTTCTTTAGGGTGTTGTAGTTTGCAATAGAAGTTTTGAGTGGTCATTGTGTTCGGGCTATATAGACTTTAAATATTACTTTAATGATGGTTATCTGATTACAAAAACATCACAAATGAAAACTCACGTGGCATTACTGAATCCAACATATTCATTACCAGCCATCTTATTCAAAAACTGCATCACCTATAAAGTAAAGTGATAAAGTATTAGTAATCCAAAATAAAAAAACTGTAACATGAAAATTGAATTCTATAATGCACTTACATAGTCAAATTTTTCAGCATTATTTACTCCTTGCTGCAAAAAAAATGAGACATAAATGTATTAGTATAAGTACCACCACAGTCAAGTTTTAAGTGAATATGATAATAAAATTTCAAGATGCTATCATAATAATGAGCTGCACATTAGTACTTTTAAATACTAGGAGGTATTTCTAGAGCAATATTTACATAAATGCTTTTACATTGTCTTTCATTAAACACTCATATGCTGAGATGGATCTGAATTACAAAGGGAATGCTTTATTTTAAGTATAATCTTTTGCCCAACCCAACATTATAGAAATTTAAATACAAGTTACCCTAAATCCCCTTATCTTTCATGACAACACAAAATATCTTAGAATGCAAGTTATTTCACTTCATACTTTAAGAAACTTAAAATAAAGTTATACCCTTAGAAAAATTAAATATAAATTATGGTTTTCAATTATGAACAATCTATATTTTTAAAATAACCCCAAGGCAGTATTAGAGTTAGAAAAATGAGTTATGTTTAAAACTAATCTTAATTCTAGTATATGCATTCTGGATACATTTTACTATTGTAGAGAAAATGTTCTTTACTATCTATTGTTAATAATACTTGAACTAGCTACATTTGTACTTAGCATTATGCCAATTCAGAGTATGGAAGATGTATTGTTTCATCACTATTTCTGACATGTTAGCTACTGCAAATGTCAATAGGAAAACCTATGTAACGTAGATCAGTTTAAGTAGCCAAATGGTTTCATTTTACCTCGGCGAAGTTTACAAAGCAGTAAGCTGTAGATCTGAAATCAAACGTATTAATTGGTGATATGCACCCAATAGAAACAATACATCTCAAAATTTAAAAACAGGTTTAAAATAATTTGACAACTAGAGTTTCAAAAACAATTATTTTAAACTTTACCCTTACAACTTCCAAATCATTACACTCTAAAATTTTATTATGGGAGGGGGGGGGACCTATACCGGAGTATTAAGAAACTGAATAAAGCCAGGTTCAATTCTCCACTATACATGTGGATTAGGATGTGGCTGATAATCTGTGACATTTACAGATCATTTGTCTGAGAAAGGATGTGCAATCAGTAGCTGGAAAGAATACTAAACTATTTCATTAAAATTAGGTATGAACAAAACTTAACCAGCAATAATTTAGCTATAGCCATATTGCAATCCCTATTTCCTCTAGCAGCATCCATTGGCATATTTAATTTTTCTTTCCTTATAGTACACCAGAAATTATAATGTAGAAATGTAACTCCAAAGCTGTTCAATGAAAAATAATTAAAAGAAGAAATTACCAACTTCATTGAACTGTTGCAGTTGTCAAAATATCCATAGATCCTAATGCTGTAAAATATGTAACAACATTTAAACCACAAAAGCCTTTTTAACCTTTGAAAAAGCACAAAAACAAACTCTTGGAAAAGGATGTCAGCATTTGCATTGGGATGTCACATGGAAAATTACTGATTATACAATTAAGCAATGTAATATGAAACAAGTTATCTTTCATTCTCAGACTTAAGCTGTGTCTTACAAAAAATACAAAATCTCCTTAAGTGTCTGTCATGTTTAAAAAATAAAAAGGACTGTTTTAATGGTCACATGTTCTACTTTATAGTTAAGTCCAAGCTTTGCTTCTAAGCTGTTTTGAAAGAAAACAAAATATCTAGGAATGCCTATCGTTCTATCACATTTTGAGTTGAGCTTCTTGAATGTCCTAGGAAAATTATGTAAACAGGCAAAATAAGGTATCTGGCTACATTAAATTCCCAGACTTTCCCAAATGAATCATATTATCTATCCTGGTAATAGCATTTGGCTAGTAACATATATTTGCCCCATGAAAAGATTTCATGTATCTCAGTGATGAAGGGTATCTTATAAAAATTCATGCTATTTTAATTCTTGAAAGGCTAGAATTTAAATTTACTTGCAAAGCTAATAGGAAAAAATATATATAAACACACAAAATAAACTAAAGGGAAGAAAAAAATTTAAAAGGTAAAAACACAGGGACTGGAGACATAAGATAGGAGGTAAAATGCTTGCCTTGCCCATGTTCTACTGTGGTTCAATCCCTGGCACTTGATACGGTCCCACAACCCCCACCAAGAGTGATCCCTGACAGAAGAGCCAGAAGAAAATACTAAGCACAGTTGGATGTGGCCCAACAACCCTCCCTAGCTTCCATCTGCATCCCCCCCCACCTACACACAAAACAGAAAGTGAGGGGAAAAAACATAAAAATCATTAACCAGTAGTGGGCTACAGAGGGGTAAGGGAATAGATAAACACTGAAGCAGAAGAACGAGTGCATGGTGACTGCTGCTACTGCTGGGTTTATTTTATACATGTTTGAAATTTTTCACAGTAGTAAGTTAAAGGAAAAAAGTTTATTTTTCTAATAATGTCCTAAACTCATTTACAAAACTATTCCTTTGTAATATTGTCTTTCCAGTTAGATTTTTAAATTAGGGGCTGAAACATGCACAGCAGGTAAGGCACCTCCCTTGCACGAAGCCAACTGGGGTTTGATTCCCAGCATCCCATGAGGTCCCAAGGAACCCACTAGTAGTGATTCCTGAGTGCAGAGCCTGAGGAGAAACTCTGAGCACTGTTGGATGTAGCCCCAAAAAACAACAAAATTTTTAATCTATTGCATTTTAAAGCAGAAAGTTCAAACATTAGTGGATATTTATATTGTGCGAATTAGCAATTCTTAAATTTTTAGAGATGACTTGGGAAATCCTGCTGGTAAAGGTAGTAACAATATCATTTAGTTTGTTACACATCTGCCTCATTATATATAAAAGTCACAGAGCAAACTATCAAAAGACTATACATCATGCTCTTAGGTCTTATTAAAGATAGCTATTTGATCAGGTCCTCCTTTCCATTTTGTTGGACCCAAAGAAATGGAAACAATTTAATATAAGAGGATTTGTTCCCATGCTTCACAGTGATTTAGAACATCCTTAGTGCTAAAACGAACTCCAGTATTTTGAAACGGTGTCCAAGAGGTTTTCATAACCAGAAGCTGTGTAACACATTTTATGGCATGAAACAAGTTCACCTTTCTTTTGCAAAGTGAGGGGACACTTGACCGAACTGACCAGACAAAAAATTAATTTTAAGAAAGTCTCATATATGAAAGATGAGATTTAGACACTGGTATCATGCCCACTTAACTTTTGGAAAATTAAACCAGGATGTTTATTTAAAAAAAGAAATCACCACAAGTATTAAAAGTCATTAATCATCAAAAAGTTAGAGAAATTTGCAAAATGGTAAAGAAATACTAAAAATAAAAAAAAAGCATCTACTGAAATTTCTAATCCAGACTCTTAAAAAGTAAACTACAGGGTTTGAGACTAGTAATCAGACTAGACTAGAAAATTATCCAAACTAAATTTCCATAAACATATCTATTAAATTCAAGAATTTTCAGTCCTAAAGAAGGGGAAAAAAAGAATTTTCAGTCCTATGTGGAAAAACATGAAAATGTGATAAAGGTGGGTGACACAGTAAGTTTTTATACTGGCTACCAAAAGAATATAATTACATTGGAAATTTTTCATAGCATTTTTAATATACTAAAATTAATTTACTTACTTATTCTACACTGTAATAGTTAATACAGCAATACTGGCAGGAATATCCTACATCTTATATAAAGGCACTTTAAATTAAAGTCAATGCAAAAACCAGTTACCTTTTAGGTAGATCTTTTTTTACATTCATAAACAATGTACATATGAAAGCCAATCAAAAATTAGAAGTAAGGGGCTCGCGTGATTACCCAGGTTAAGTTGAGGCACATACTTTGCAGTGGCTGATCTTTGTTCAGTTCCCAGCACATGGTCCTCGGAGCACCACTGGGTGCAGCCCTGAAGGCCTCTGAGCACCATCTGGTAATCTGGCCTCTGCACTGCTAGGCTGGAATCACCAGGAGGGACCTGAAGGCTCTCTCCATCCCTCCTCCAAAAATTTATAGGTCATAGAAGAAATAAGGAATAGCAGAGGCAAAGATAGCTCAAAATGACGTTATAAAAATAAATTTTCTTCATAGATGAACTCTTTAAAATATCAGAAAATAAATCAAGTCCTTCATTTTTAAGTGTCAAATACATTAACTGATAAAAATGCTAGTAAAAAAACCATTCTTCTGTTTTATGAATTCTACCAAGTCCAAATCCATTGCTTCCCAGCAGCACAAACTGTCTTAATCATGTGGTTTTTTACTCTACAAGTCATTGCTAAAATTACCAAAGTGAGCTTTACATATTTACATATTTTTAACTGACTTTCTCTTTTCATGCAACAAAGTTAAATTTTAAAAAAGACAAAGAAAAAAAACTAAAAATCAGAACTACTTCAGATTTTAAGACTTTACTCAAATAATAAAGTAAAAATTACCTGAGGATAAAGAATTTAAACATAGAAGGCAATGTTAACTTACTTTTTATCTTTGAAGAAGTGTGACAATTACCTTATTAATATGGTGCCCTTATTTTCCTACCTTAACCCTTGTATTATCTTTAGACCTTAATATTTAAACTGCAACTAGGTGAAATTTTTGCCACTAGAAAGAAAAAAAATTACGTAAGGATACTGCTATTTCATCCAAAGTAACTGCTCCTTTCAAATGTATTTTTAGTGTCCTTGAAATCAAGCAACCACATAGTCAAATAAAACAAACCACTTTTTAAAAAGTATCCTTATAAATTAAGTAGTTACAAATTGAGAGAGGAAGTGTAATACCTTATTTTTATTATGTGCACTTTAAAGTACAAAATGACATCTGTTGTTATGAAGGTATTTACCTATGTATACGTTAAAAATTTTAAATATTGGAGTTTTCCTATAAGTTTAGGTAGTTAGAATTTATGCAACAGGTTCCTTCTGAGCAAATCCTTTTTTCCATAATCTGCTAATCCTTTTGAACATTTTGCTCTGCCTCTTCCCCCATTTCCTGAGGATCACCACCAATCCTACAAGGAAAAAATATCAATACTACAAAATTAAGAAATAAATAGTCTTACTAAAGACTAGTTATTCTGTATGAGTTGGGGGACAAAAGTAACAACAAAAAATGTTTTAACAGCACCACAAGTGGGGAATAGCCTCAAGGTCAACAACCAAAGGAACTAAAAACAGAAGTCATAGCTAGGAGCCATGGTAAAACAGCATCTATGCTTCCGTTACTCAAATACAAACTCCACAAGGAAAGGTCCGTATGGTTTCTTATAAATATCAGACATTGACTAAAGACCAATTAATGACTATGTGCATCCAAAGAAAAATTAAGCCTGACCCAAGACAATTTTTTTGTTCATACAGAAATTAAAACAACTCTCTTCTGGAGACAATATTGCCATGCTAGAGTCAAATATGTTATGAAGACAAATAGAAAGCACATATATTAAATGTGGAAGACTAAATTCTATTGAACAAGAAAAAGAAAACCAGGAGAGCTCAAATTTTACTTCGAAAATCAATTAGTCAGGTTATTCACTCTATCTACATATATATATAATATATATTTATAGATAGATAAATAGATCTTTTAATATTTTGTGATCAAAGGCACACAGATATCATGTACAGAGAGATATAGATTTTGAATTGTTTCCTTAAAAGAACTTATAAAAATACTATACTCTGGAGTAGTTTAGTTATAAAGTGGGGTATATTAGGCTTACCCCTCCAAGATTTTTATGAACTTCATCAAAACAAAACCAAACCTGTGAAACACCTTCTAAAAGCAAAACAAAAAAATTCAAAGAGAGTGACATAAAGAACCATCTCCCCCAGGTCTCATTTCAAGCTCTGCTGGTAAATTAAATTTTTTTTTAATTTTATGGACTGAACACTGATAAATGCAAGATGACAGTTATTATTTTTCACTGCTCGACATCAAATCATATACACACTGCATAAAAGAGTTTAACTGTTTCATAGTGCTTGTATTATTGTGGCTCAAAATGTTTTTATGCCTTGTGAGTGAAAATGGTATGTGAAACTAATGAAGGGATGGTGTGAGGATACATGCATTTCCCATGTGCAGTATTAACACTAGTATATTAAACCTAAAAATCATTAAACAGATGTTTAAACTTCATGCAGTTAAGAATGTGTCTATTAATCATTTACATATTCCCTTTCTTGAAAATACTATTGGTGTACCAAGTTAATCTTTCTCTAGTGGTAATTTCAAAGATCAGCTTCAAAAGGCCTATAAACTATGAAAAGTTTATATACAATCATGATATGTGAACATATTTCTGGGAAGATCCCCAAAGTTCCAAACTATTCTAGTGATACTCTATTCAAGCACTAACGTATGCACTTACGCACTGCATTTTCGTAACTTTACTAACACCTCCAAATTAAAAGTTACCTGATTAAATCTGAGCAATTATTAATAATACTCTTTTCATTACAATATCTGAATTACACTATAATGGTCCATAGTCCATAATACAATGCAAGGTACTTGAAGACAGGACTATGCCTTGCACTATTCGTGTAATTTCATACAATAAAGATTTTTCTTTCACCTCAAATTATTTTTCTATTAGAAAATATATAACTAGATAGTACCATAAGAGGATGAAAACTTCATAGCTATTAATTTCATTAAAAATTATTTAATAATAGTCACTAACTATAATATATATCTTAGGAGCTACGAAGTTAATACTATGAAGTACTTATATTAAAATAACAAATACTTTAAAAAACCTTCTATTTCAAAGTTTCTTTCTCATGAACATAAGCAATTTATTAAAATTTAAGGGGAGATGTACTGAAATTTATTAATTGAGTCAATGGCATATTTTATACTCAAATAGCCCTTATATAACTGAACTCCTCAATAATGCATCTTACAATGCCATGGTGCTATATTTTCCAAGCCTAGAATAAGCAGGAACAGATTTGCTGATGGATATAAGCATTACAAATACAAATGATACTTCATATAAAATTTATAATTAAAAATTGAAAATGCAAATAGTGCCCCAAGAGACTTTTCAAATACTTATTTTTAAAATATTGAGAATTTCCATCAGTAAAAAGTAAAAGGCCCTCCCGTTGATCATCGATTTGCTCAAGCGGGCCCAGTAACGTCTCCATTGGAGACTTTGTTGTTACTGACTTACTAAAATAAGCCTTGAGTTATGAGAATGACTTTATAAGTAAAGCAAATGAAACAAGTTCAAATGAAAACTGAGATTACAGTTCTTGAGGGTATGAAAAGCTTCAATTCAAAAGTAAATGTACTTAACACGAACTACCAGAACATGTGCTCCTACCTAAATTGACAACAATAATGAAACAGTAAGAAAGCTTTTAATTCTGATTAGATCTCTTCAATCTAAAAAGTCAAAGGGAAGAAAAACGAGGAAAAAAATCAAAACTTTAAGAAAAACTTTGGTGCCTACTGTTGAGCAGAAACTTTCTGAATTTTTGCCAGATCTTCAGAATTATTCAGAAGTTCAAGACTAAATATTAGAACTTGAGTCACCTATTTGATTTTTTCTTACATCATTTAAGATAATTTTTTTGAAATCTTAAACTTTTATATTGTAAACTTTTACCACCAAAAAAAATTCATTTTCTCATTAAAAAAACAAGATCTTTATGCCTTAGTAATTAAACGTGTACTAGATTAAAAGGAAATGTTAAAATTTTACCTTTATTAATGAAGTCACAACAATTGCACCAGCATTTACCATAGGATTATGTGGCTTATCTGTAAAATTTAAAAAAAAATTAAACATGTATTCTTTCAAATACTAAATCACTTTCTGTAATATATAGACTAAGTACCATGAACATTTTATTCTTCGTTATGCCCTACAGTATTTAGAAATGAGGGTAGGGGGAAAGAGACAAGACTGGAGAGTGGAGGATTGTATTTTAATCAGCTACATAGCAAACCAGTAACATACTACTAAGAAGTTGCTTTAAGGATCACAAAGGCCTATACTATGTGTTTTGTTATATCCTACATGAGGCCCTCCCGTTGTTCGTAGATTTGCTCAAGTGGGCCCAGTAACGTCTCCATTGGAGACTCTGTTGTTACTGTGTTTGGCATATCGAACACATCACAGGGAGCTTGCCAGGCCCTGTCATGCGGGCGAGATACTCTCAGTAGCTTGCCAGGCTCTCCGAGAGGGGCGGGGGAATCAAACTCGGGTCGGCCATGTTGGCTGCGTGCAAGGCAAACGCCCTACCGCTGTGCTATCGCTCCAGCCCTACATGAGAAACACCTAAAACTCAATCATGAATAACTTTGTAAATATTTCTATAAAAGAATCAAAGAATCACAGGGGCCAAAAAGAGAGTACAGAGTTAGGGTGTAAGGACAACCCGATTTCAATCCCCAGCAAACCATATTGGTCCCTCCGGCCCACCAGAATGATCCCTGAGCGCAGATCCAGGAGTAAGTCCTGAGTCGGATGTTGTCCCAAAATAAACCAAAAAACCCAATACGTATTTTAAAATTTGTCATTTCAAAAGTGCTACTTTTGCCCTTAATTTTCTTTTTTTAATAGGTGAATTTCTGTAAAATAGTTGCAGCTCTTGCTAATTATCCAACTATTTTCGTTCAAGATATCTTTCAAAGATTAAAAGTAAAGTAAAGGCCCTCCCGTTGATCATCGATTTGCTCGAGCGGGCCCAGTAACGTCTCCATTGGAGACTTTGTTGTTACTGTGTTTGGCATATCGAATACTCTCGGTAGCTTGCCGGGCTCTCCGAGAGGGGCGGAGGAATCGAACTTGGGTCGGCCATGTTGGCTGCGTGCAAGGCAAATGCCCTACCGCTGTGCTATCGCTCAAAGATTAGATGTTCTAAAAGACAAAAAAAAAATGTACTCTCAACTAAAACATCGTTCTACCACAAAATTTTTAATTTATGTGAATTACATAAAAATAGGGCATAAACACTTATGTAAATCATTATTAAGCTTAAACAATTCAACCAACATTGAATAAAAGTCACACATAGCCTTCTGCCCAGCTACATACATTCCAGGGAATTATTTAAGCAAATCCCATACAGTGAGATTTTTGTAATATGTGATTATAAAGTGATAAATCTTATTCTTTTGCCACTATTTTCTCCCTAGCTCACTTCTCCATGGTATTTCAATCCCCAGATTCTTAGTAATTTAAGCAGGAGGCTAAGTATCTATATAAAGTGTCACAGAAATTTCACAATAAACAGAAAGAGTACGATTTCAATTTTTCTCCAAAGATTTTAAAAAGTAACTTTTTAAACAAAAAAATGAGGTATATCTTTTTTCCAACTAATTTTCGTGTCATTCTTACCATCTTCATTTAAAAACAGTTTGTTGAATCTTAATCCACTCGGCTCTTTTCCAACATAACGATGAACATATTCTGTTCCAAGATCATTAACAGCAATGGCATATTTCAAAGGTTTTACACAGGACTGAAGACAAAATGGAACTTTGGTATCTCCAATAGAATGCCTAATTAAAAGTAGATTTTGCAAACTATTAAGATCAACAATGGAAAATATAAACACATAATTGGTGTTATTTTTAAGATGCTAATTTTGCAAGTATTCCCATTGCTTATCTGCACACTTACTTGAAATAGATATGTATTTTTTATTAAAAAGAGATACTGCAAAAAAAAAATTGTGCCTGTCATAGAGGTAGGGTGATAGGTCGGAGGAAAACTGTGAACATCTGTGGAGGGCAGTGAACACATCGAAGCGGAGGGAAGGGAATGGTGTTGAAATATTGTATGCCTGAAACTCAATCATGAATAACTGCAAATTATGGTGTCTTAATAAAAATATTTAAAAATGAAAAAAGATACTATAAATGTTTATTTAAAAAATGAATGTACTGGGTAGGAAGATAGTTCAAAATTAGATAATTGAGTAAAAATTTCATTCTAAGCACACTTTCAGATATCAATGACTAAATTGGTCAGTATATGCTAAAAACTCAGTTTAGAACAGATGACTGGTTAAAGAAACTTTGGTACATCTACACAATGGAGTACTATGTAGCTGTTAGAAAGGATGAAGTCATGAAATTTACATACAAGTGGTACTACATGAAAAGTATCATGCTAAGTGAGTCAGAAAGAGAGGGATAGACATAGAAAGAATGCATTCATCTGGGAAATATAAAGTAACAAAATAGGAGACTAACATCCAAGAATAGCCGAGATAAATACCAGGAGGTTTACTCCATGGCTTGGAGGCCAGTCGCACACTCTAGGGGTAAAGGCAGCTCAGATAGAGAAGGGAGCACCAAATAAAAGGTATTGGGAAGATCTGCCCAGAATGGGAGATGCATGCTGAAGATAGACTATAGACAGAACGTGATTTCCACTCAATTCCTCTTTTGCAAACCACAGCACACAAAAGGAGAGAGAGAACAAAAGGGAGTGCCCTACCACAGAGGCAGGGTTGGATGGGGGGGGGGACGGATACTTGAATCAGTGGTGGTGGAGAATGGGCACTGGTGGAGGGATGGGTATTCGATCATTGTATAACTGAAACCCAAGCACAAAAATTTGTAAGTCTACAGAGGCAAAAGGACTGAATCCAGAGCCCTGAGAATTGAGGCAGAAAAGTGAATGGACCATGCGTTAAACTATAGAGCCATGCCTCCCTGGGAGAGAAAGGGTATTGTTCCCTTCCACCTGCCCCCACCCCCCACCCCCCACCTCCCCAACCCCCCGCAGCAAGGTGGTCGCCACCTCAGAACTTATAGGAAGGCCAGGTATGAGCCGGCGGTGATGGGGCAACTGCAGTCTCATGGGAAGGGGGGCAATACCGGCTCGTCCTTCACGCCCTACGGAGTTGCCCCCCAGGAGTGGCTCTCTGGCACAGCCGTAACACCAGATGCACAGAAACCAATCTCGAAATTATCTAGCTCTTTGCAGAAATCCAAAATCGCGTGGCCGCTATTAGGGCTGCATGACATTACATGATTCTCATAACCAGTTATAGAAAACAAAGTATTTCACAATGCCTTTTCAGCAATTCTGATTGTTGGGGGGGAATTCTGAACAATAATGGTGCATCTTTTGTCGAAATAATGAATGTAATCAATGTAGAGAAGAGTTAAGTAGAAATCATCTGCCTCACAGGCATTGGGAGGGGTGGGAAAGGGGGTATATTGGGGTTCTTGGTAGTGAAAAATGAGTACTGGTGAAGGGAAAGGTGTTTGATCATTGTATGACCGAGACTTAAACCTGAAAGCTTTGTAACCTTTCCCACAGTGATTCAATAAATAAATATAAGAAGAAAAAAAATTTAAAAATTTAAAAAAAAAACTCAGTTTATATTCAATTTTATTTTTAGATCCAATTTTATTCTGAGGCCTTGTCCACAAATGCATTATTCTGCAAAATATATATATATATATATATATATATGTATGTATGTAACACAGTCACGGTCCTCCTGTTCATCAATTTGCTCGAGCAGGACCACTAACGAGACGTCTCCATCGTGAGACTTGTTGTTACTGTGTTTGGCATATTAAATTCGTCACGGGTAGCTTGCCAGGCTTTGCTGTGCGGGCGAGATACTCTTGGTAGCTTGCTGGGCTCTCCGAGAGGGTCGGGAAAATTGAACCAGGCTAGGCCAGGTTGGCTGCAATGCAAATGCCCTCCTTGCTGTGCTACCACTTCAGCCCATATATATGTATATACTCACAATTTCAGTCCAATAAAAAAAAAAATAGCTTACAGCTTTTTTAAACCCAAAAAGAGCTGGCACTAAAGTTAGAGACTAGATGTAATCATAATCAGTAAAAAACAGACTAAAAAAGAAAACTTACTAAACTGGATAAACTCAATGAATAGTTTCAAAATGGAAAAATTCTGAATAAGCCTAGAATGTTAAGTGTGTTATGGGCAAAATCCTTAGGATTTTTTTGTTTGTTTACTTGCTAGGGGTAGGGGGTGCCATTCTATATATATGGCTGTGCTCGGGATTTTATTTCTGGCTTTGCACTCAGGGATCGATCACTCATGGTGGGGCTTAGGGAACCACCATTAAGTGGTGCCAGGGATCAAATTTGAATCAGTCATATGCAAGGTAGTGTCTACCAAGTTCAACAAACCCGTTTTTTTATTTGTTTAACTACTAACTGTTCCCAATAATCCCCCAAAACATAACTAATTAATAGTGAAAATCATCTCTCACGAGGAGAGATAACTCAGTGGACTGAATGCAATCACTGCATACAGAAGGCCCAAGTTTAATCACCTACACCATCTGATCCTCCAGATACCTCCTGGAGTAGACCCTGTACACCAAACACTCACTCCCACAAAAAAAAAAAAAAAAGGAAGTCAATATGTAGTATGGACCAAATAGTACAGGAAGCATGGCACTTGCTTGGCAAATAACCAACCTCATTCATTCCCCAGCACTGCATCAGGCTCTTAGAGCCACACCAAAAGTTATACTTGAACACAGTGCTAAGTATGGCCCAAATTTAAGAAATAAAAGAAACTGTTTTAAAGCATCAAATTCATGAATAATTTCTAATTCAGACAGTAATTTCAACTTGATTGTCATACTAAAATCTGATTAAATCCTGTTGCACTACCTCTGGGTTAAAATAAAAATATGCACTTAATTCCAAAGTCAACTTTAAATATTCTCTAGGTAAGAGGTTGGGGACTTAAGAAACGGACAGGAGTGACTCAGGCTCAATTCTGGTATCACATGCCCTACAAGTATTGCTCGATGTGCTGGTTGTGATCCCCAAGAGCTCCAGGACTTCAGGGCGCAAGTAGCACTGCATTCTCGGCCCTAACAAGGAGCCACCTGGTCCAACTGTCACCAAGAGTGGTCCCCGAATTCCTGAGCACTGGCTGAAGGATCTCTCAAAAAATTCTCCAGATACAGAGTGAGAACAAGAGCAAGAGGCAAGAGCGAGGAAGAACGAGAAAGAGAGAGAGAGAGAGAGAGAGAGAGAGAGAGAGAGAGAGAGAGAGAGAGACAAACAGACAGACAGAGACAGAGACAGAAAGGGGGAGAGAGAGAAAAACGAAGTGGGGGGAAATGCCTGCCATAAAGGCAGGGTGGGCAAGGGATGGCAGGAAGGAAATTGGGGACACAGGTGATGAGAAAGGTACACTGGTGATGGGATGGGTGTTGGAATACCGTATGACTAAAATCAAATCATGAACAACTTTGTAACTGTGTATCTCATGATTCAATTAAAAACAAATTAAAATTTTAAAATCTCCAGATAATCAAAATAGCCAACACTATGTTTAAGACAAAAACTATGGAGAAGCATTACATACTTATAATTTCCTACAAATAATAAAAATTTCCATTGTGGAAAAAATATAAACCAGAAAGGACTTACGGTCTAATTTCACCTCTAACAGTATTATATTAACTATGAGTCTCGGATTCCTCATGAGTAGGTTAAACTATGTATATATATTTTTATTGTAAATACTTGAGAATTATGTATGTATATATTTTTATTGTAAATACTTGAGAATAAGTATTAAAAATGAAAAGGACTATTTATAATAAAGGTATTTAGGGACAGGAGAGGTAGCACAGCAGTACATGTATGTAATAGACTCTGATTCAATCCCCAGTACTGTATGATCTCCAGGACACCAACACAAATGATATCTGAGCAAAGAGCCAGGAGTATGCACTGAGCACTCTTGGTGCAGCCCAAAATTAAAAATTCTTAAATGATATCACTCTCTTTGAAGATTACATTTTTATTTTATCATATTCTGCTAGGTCCTTATTTGTCTGTCAATGGACCATGCTAATAATGTGAGCACTCTACAAATACTGATTTCATGGTCTTCATAAAGTGCCATGGATTTCACAATTGACTTCTAACTATGGAAATAGCTGGTAAAGATTATACTATACTATATTGTCTTAATTATGAGGCTAGTTTATCAGGAGCATGAGGTACAAAAATGATAGATAAACTGTGAATAATATATATGAAGTGTCATCAATTCAGGACAAAAGTATTATTTCAATTGAGCTTCTGAAAATTAAAACCTGTATCTACCTTCTCAAATTTGACAGATTAAGACAAATTTCCATTATAGACAATGCTCATCTCTATTCTCATGCTAACCATTATGCAAAATTTAAGACAGTTTTAATTGATTGCAAATACTTACCTCTGTCCATCCACTGTACAAACAGACACACCCCACAAATCAGGACTGAACTTGGCTAGCTGAGGAATATAGTCTGCAACCTATTCAAAATGTTAGAAAGAAAGATATAATATACAAAATACTTTTTCTACCCAAAACTGTATCCTAATTTAGTTTCCCATATATCTTTTTTTACTTTAATCTATCTTAATACTTAATAATTAATATTCAATAAAGGTCCAGAGGAAAGTTCATCAGGGCTGACCTGCATGCATATATTTAATATTGTACATTTATTTACACATATGTTTAATTCTACTCACTAAAAACTAAGAACAGAAGTTACGGACCTAAATGTGAAAGGCCCTGAGTTAAATCCCTGACACTGCACGACCTCCTGAGCACCATGCAGTATGGCTCTGGTGGGGGCACCAACACCAGACAGACCACAGGCACCCTACCGTGTAAAGCAAGGGGCCACCACGTTTTTTAAAAAAAGAAAAAAAAGGTTCAGGGAAAAAATACACTACAGCATTATAGGTGAGCTTTGAAGTGATTTATCTCAGTCTTCATCATCCTCTTTGTTTTCTAAAGACTTAAAATTTTAAGGAAAATTATTTAACTATGGTCATGATTTTTAAACTATCTTAAACGATCTTTTAGTTTATCTTAAACTATCTTTTAACTATCTTAAAACTTAAGTTTTGATTTGGTGGTGGAGGGTTTGTGGCCATACCCACCAGCTGTGCCCACAGAGCTTAATCCAGGCCATGCAATGGAAACCATATGTGATGCTGAGCCTAGGGCCAGAGTGGGACATGTGAAAGGCAAAAAAAGACCTTAACCCCTATTAACCTCTCTGGCCCAAACAGCAAACTATTCTGAGTAAAGGCCGGGATATGTTTCAACAGCATTGACCTAAATTCTATCCACAGCACTATGAAAATAAATAAAACATACTACTATCACTTAATCCAGTGACTTCACTTTAATTCTAGTAGAAAAATACAAGAGAATTACTCAATTAGTCTTTCAATTTCAGCTGATCTTCATTTATTAACTGGTTTAGGAAAATATTTACATCAAAAATATTACCTTTCCTCCAGACTGCTTCTTAGCACTTTCATATAATTCATCAATATGTGAGGTAAAAGACATAAAGTCAGGAATGACAAACTTTCTTCTAAAGGCTTGGGTCAACAAAACAATGTTGCTTTGAACACATCTGTGGAATGTGAGAAAAAAGAGTCAATAGAATGGGTGCCTTTCAGGTATTATAGCCTACTAATAACAATACTAATTAGGAGAATTTTTCAAACAATAGAGAAATTATTCTGTACAACAAATAAACTATAAATTATGCTGTTATTTTCTTTTCCTCAAGCAGCCTTGAATGTAGTAGCGTGTAAGCTGTTGAACAAGTTAAATAAATTAGATGCACCTAAAGATGTGTCAAAGATTAAAACACTAGAGCACCACACCAGATTAAGTATGAATACTATCTAAAACAAGTTTCTTACATGCCAACTGCTAATCATTCAGCATGACACTTGGCTAACAAATCAGATTTTAATGTTACTGCTGAGATTGTTATATGCTATTTGCATAAGATACAAAAATGTTAAAAAAATTTTTGAACATTTTTATATCTTATAAACGGGACAGTGGGTCCCTGTTTTAGTACAGTGGATAGGTAAGGTGTCTGCGCCTTGCATGTGGTCAACCCAGGTCTGATCCACTGCCCCACATAAGGTCCCTGCAGAGCCAAGAATAAACCCTGAGCACTGCTGGGTGTGGCCTTACATAACAAAATAAGGATATGGCAAGTCATATGGAAGGGAGGGGCAAGATATCCAATGATCTGAATATTCCATTTTGTTCTAAAAATGATTCAGGCCAAAATATAGGTGTATTTAAGAATATACAAATATACGTATATATGAGGAGTTTCTTTGGGGAGAAAATTACTCATATATACGTAAGTAAAGTAAAAGTAAAGGCCCTCCCATTGATCATCGATTTGCTTGAGCGGGCCCAGTAACGTCTCCATTGGAGACTTTGTTGTTACTGTGTCTGGCATATCGAATACGTCACGGGGAGCTTGCCAGGCTCTGCCGTGCGGGCGAGATACTCTCGGTAGCTTGCCGGGTTCTCCAAGAGGGGCGGAGAAATCGAACTCGGGTCAACCATGTTGGCTGCATGCAAGGCAAACGCCCTACCACTGTGCTAACATTTTAATATTGATTTTTTTTAAATGTGCTGTTTTAAATATTCATCCTTGTTCTTTGTTTTTTTTTTTTTTTAAGGGAGAGTGAAAACACAATCTCCCCTACAAAAAAATTCTGTGTTTGAGTTTCCCACATTTGGGGAAATCGCAGGTGTCAGCACATCTGGAGTGTAATGGATAAGCCTCAGCCCGGGAAAATCACCTTTGTGATCATGGTATCTTCCTATTAGGTAAGTATATTATTCATCCTTGATTAACCCTCAAAATAGGATGATCTTTTCATTTACATATAAGAAAGAAAGCTCTGTAACTTCTATGAAAGTAACTGGTACTAATTATGAAGGGGGAAATAAAGTAGATGGTCTTAGTATTTTTCTTTCGGTAATGATAAATTTTTGCATCTTTATTTCTTATTTCCAGTTTTCTCTAAATTGAAGACTCCTTAACACATAACCATTAATATTATGAGCCAGGTTTTACATTCTAACTATAAAAAGCTTTAGGTACAAATTCAGTACTAAATGCATTTTTAAAGAGTGGGTTGTTTGTAGGAGGCAAGCTATAGTACAACAGGTAAAGCATTTGCCTTGCATGTGGCCAGCCTGGGTTCAACCCCCAGCATCTTCCAGGTGTAATTACTAAATGGAAAGACAGGAGTAACCCCTGAACATTGTTAGGTGTGGCCACAAATCAAAACAAAACAAACAGGTTGTTTTTGTTGATCAAGATGTGCCCCAAAGAGTACAGTGACCATTTGCCTTGCATGTGGAGACCCAGGTTTCATCCCAGGCAACCTATACGGTTCCCTGAGCCTGGCAGGAATGATCCCTGAGCACAGAGCTAGGAGTAAGCACGGAGCACCACCGGGTGTGGCCCAAAAACAAAGACAAAATAAATATGACCCAAAATAAGATGGAAAAAAAATTAGTCTGAATTATCAGTCTACAGACCTAAAAAAATTAACTGACATCCCAATGATATCTATTCTTTATAAATTGTTTTCTATTTCAATGTTAATCTAAAAACCTTTTTACCATTCCTTATGTTTCATAATAGATGCAAGAAATATATACTAAACTCATTTCTATTGAAAAAAAACAATTCCTTATCTTAAATCACTATTTGTATCAAATTAGATCTGCTTTCCTATTTTTCAGTATGAGGTGTGCAAAACAAATTTCAATTATTAACCTTCAACTATTTAACCTAATCAGCACTTTTAACACAGCTTTATAAATGAGCAAAATGTACAGCAGTGAAAAAAAGGTTCTTTCTCAGCGCTGCAAAAGCTATACTTTCTTAGTAGTCTTAGCTAGTCTATTATTACGGTCAACAAAGGCCATACTATTTACAGGATCATCTAAACACTGATGGGCATTACAAATTACATTATTTTTCTCTTGGGAGTAAAAATACAACTATCATGAATGTAACTATAAAGTAGAATTCATAAAATGAACTCTGAAGCAGAAGTACATGTGTTTTTCATCAAGTCTCTTTTTTTCTTTTTCTTTCATTTTATAATCTATGAACATGGAATTATTTTTCCCTTCATTTGGTAATACATGTTAATACATAAATACTTTAGAAATACTTCATTTAAATCATTTGCAGTAAAACATAAATTGAAACTCTAAGAGTATGAAGCAGTATACACATATAAATATATTATTTTCTCCAAAAACACATTTTTTTTTGGCTTTTGGGGTCACACCCAACAATACTCAGGGGTTACTCCTGTCTCTGCACTCTGGACTTACTCCTGGCAGTGCTCCGGAGATCACGTGGAATACCAAAATCAAACCGGGGTCAGCCATGTGCAAGCCAAATTCCTACCTGCTATATTATTATTCTAGCCCCCAATACAAAGTAATTCTTACAAAGCTTTTTACGATTAGAAATCCACAAACAAAACTTCTATGGTTAAAAATCCAGAGCTAAAGACAGTATTCACTTTCAACACAAAATTTTCTACTTCTGGGGGCTGGAGCGATAGTACAGCAGGTAGGGCGTTTGCCTTGCATGAGGCCAACCTGGGTTCTATTCCCAGTATCCCATATGGTCCCCCGAGTACTGCCAGGAATAACCCCTGAGCCTCACCGGGTGTGATCCAAAAAGCCAAAAAAAATATATATATATACTTCTATTAAAACAACTGTCTACATGGGTATAGGAAATCTCCAACTTTCAGATTATGCTCCATATGCCTAAAACAAATATTTCCCTTGATCGTATTATATATGTATTAACCAAAAATTTAACACAAGATATCAATATGGTGATGTCACCTGATATTAACTGAAAGTGAAACACATTTATTATTTCTCCAGGAAGATTGATACCATTATAGTTACCTCCCACTCACAGAGAGGTGAGATCACTCCAGCTCCCTCAACTTTCCCTGCCCCCTCAAAAGATTTCTTGCTTCCAAAAAGAATTAAGTTTCTAGAAATTCAAAGTTCCAATTTGGACTAACTTTAAGGTTAGCTGAATTAGTAGAATAAAAACCTTAGGGTGGAAAAACTAAAAGTATCAAAACTGTCAGCAGTACTTTACAGCATGCCAGGAAGCTTTGCAGGACCTCCGTAAAATACTTAAGCTATCCAGATACCTCAATACACCAGAATATTCCCAAGAAACAGAGTACTTCATTTAGTCCCACGTACATATACATACAAACATACATACAAATAAACTTTCTAGACAGTTTTTGGTCAGCCTAAGCCTATGTCTTATAAGAGTGTTTACAGTTTTGTAATAGTTTTCACATAACCATATTAGTTTAAAATACCACTTAACTCTTTGGAATCCATCATAAACATGCTGTTCACTACAACATTATCAGTACTCAGGTTATCATAAACACATTAATAAAAATTAAATAATAAGCCAATATTCAAATATTGAAAAGTCAAAATAAATACAGCAATTAAACCAAATCAAGGCATTAATTTTCAATATTTACCTTAAGTTTTCAAATATTTTAAGAATGAAAATAAAAAGACTATATATTTAATGTGTCTGTCTGAAAGGAAGAGAGACACACACAATGGAGATTTGTAAAAGGAGTAAGGCTCTCTGAAGCTTTCTCTCATTTTGTCATCTATTTGGACTTGTAGAAAGGAACCATAGAGGCTGGAGTGATAGCACAGTGGGTAGGGCGTTTGCCTTACACACAGCTGACCCAAGTTCGATCCCCAGCATCTCATATGGTCCCCTGACCACCGCCAGGAGTAATTCCTGAGCGCAGAGCCTGGAGTAACCCCTGTGCATCGTCAGGTGTGACCCAAAAAGAAAAAAAAAGAAAAAAGAAGAAAGGAACCATAGTGGAAATGCCTGAAACACATGCATAAGAACTGGAAATCAGTTTAAGCCAGGTCAGGACAAAGCGTGCTTTTCTCAAACTGAATGGGACCGCCAGGTACTGTAAACTGGGAACATCTGTGGCTACATTGCCTTAGAACGGTTTCAAAGAAGTAGATTCTGGGTCCCAGTTTATTATAGAATATTAGTGTGCACCAAGTTCTTCAGTTTGTTTATAAATCCTCCTTCCTTATCTTCTTCTTAGTTATATTAAGACAAACTGGCCTTCAGAGATGCAATTTGATTAAAAAGAAAATCACCATATAGCATAGTAAATCACCATTAAAGGTTTGGCAGAAATTTTTACTTTTTAAAAAGATCTTTGTCTAGCATGACACCATCTGATGTTGTTTGAAGAGTTAATCTTAACATATCCATACACTCTTTCAACCTGGGATCAGACGTTCGCAATCCTGTAGATTTGAGTGCCTGTTTTTAAAAAAATAAGAGCTTGTAAATATAGAGTGCAAATAATGTTTATGCTTATTCCATTTATAAGTTCTTAATCCCTGTATATAAAAACTCCTACCCAAGAACTGAATATGCATCTGGCTTATTTAGCATCACTATTACCCACTTTCTGGACATGTTTCTTATTGTTTCTTTCATTTTCTTTCACTGATTACCTTGAAATAAGCATGATGAAGATTTGAAAACAGCAAGAAAAATAGTATCAGTCAGAATCTATACGTCAGAAGACCTTTAACGCTATATTTCAATATTACAGATTTATTGTCAGTATTACAGATTTTTTAAAAAGTGAAGACAGAAAAACAAACACTTACTGTAATGAATTTATGGACAGGTATTTTCTCTTGTCCTTCTGCAATTGTATAGAACAGCAAATCTTCCAAACTAGGTAACAGACCTTGTTTTATTTTACTGAAGAGGGAAAGAGAAGATAAAATTAATCCCTGTGTGAATATTCTAAATGAATTTTAGTCATATCAATTATTAATCATTGAGCCAAATTAGTTAAGCTGATTTAGTCATCAAGACTACTGTAATGGTCGTCTTTAATACATGCTGATTCATCAAATGAAACCATTATTATTGAAACCACACTGAAAAATAAGTAAATATTATTTGATTCATTAACCAATATAGTTATCGTTTAATCCCAGATTTTGTTACCATCATTAGTTGTGCTAATGTGTAACCAGCCATCGCTATGGTTGATACCTTTATGTACAACCTAATACAATCAACCCACACTAATCAGAGTTTAGTTAAGTGTTAAGGTAAATGTCAAACTAAATTTAGTTTAAACAGTAACTGCTGAACAAAAGAAATTAATTTACTTGAATCCTGGCTATAGTTACCAGTTGAGTAGACTTACATAAATTCATTTTTCCATGATTCAGTTTTCCAATCTAAGAAAATACAATCTCATCTGTGTCATGGGATTGTTAAGGATTAAGTAACTCAATACATGCTATACCTTTAAAACACTGCTCAGCAGAGTTGTATCAACTGATACATTTATAACTGTTTCTAAAGTGATCTAGGCTTACATATACAGATCAAATGCCACAATAACTTTTAGTATGAAAATTTTAATTTCATTTTTGGGCTATACCTCGTGGTCCTTAGGGGTTATTCCTGAATCAGAGCTTAAACATCACTCATACCATGTGCTCGGAGGATCATGCAATTCTGGGGATTAAACCAAGGCATCTGCATGTAAAGCTTGAGCTCTAGTCCTCTGAGTCATCTCCCTAATGTTTAATTTTAAAAGTCATCCTTAAAATAACTAACACATAGGACTGTTTTCAGTCTCTGGGACAGGGAATTTCGGGGGCGGGGGGGGGAAAACCTATTAATTCTCAGAGGCCTGGCTTTGTGTTTGGGGGGGTCTCTTCCAGAAAGAAGTTCTCAGGGTACCATGTAGTGCCACGGATCAAAAAGCCAGGCTTCCCAAATGCAAAGCATGAGCTACCTCTATGGCTTGGCCAGGTTAAAAATAAATTCTGAATAGTAAAGAATTCCCTGAAACAATTTTGATCTTAAAGAACTTAAGTGGATTGGGAGATTTCACTAATAAGTGTGAAATATTTCCATCAATGCCTAAATATTGTGTATTACAAGCTTTCTACTTCAGTTCTTCCAATATCTTAAGACAGAAGGCACTGAAACTATGCAAAATATAATATGGTTCCTGGTACAGCAGAAATTCAATTATGTTATTTCTTGAAAATAACTTTCTATTTAACAGATATGAAACAAGAGGCTCAGACACATAAAAAAAACTTAACATGACTCCAAAATTGGCTAATATTATTAGAACCTCTGTTTTTCTTTTACCACAGTACATTGGCTCTCTAAACAGTTACTACTTTCACAAGATACCACCAATTTTTCTAGGTCTCACCCTGACTTAAAAGCATTCAACAGCGGCCAGAGCGATAGAACAGTGGATAGGGTGCTTGCCCTGAAGTAGTGGACCCAGCACAAGATATAGTCCCCTAACCACTACCAGGAGTGATCCCTTAGCACAGGACCAGAAATAAATCCTGAGTACCACTGGGTGTAGTCCAAAAGAAGTATTAAACAGCATCAACAAAACAGATGAGTTAGTATTTAAAGAAAAATGGAGCCACTTGTCAAAATGCAATGAAAAATAACATGATAGGGGCTAGAGCGATACTACAGGGGGTAGGGCATTTGCCTTGCACGCGGCCGACCTGGGTTTGATCCCCAGCATCCCATATGGTCCCTCGAGCACTACCAGGAGTCATTCCTGAGTGCAGAGCCAGGAGTAATCCCTGAGCATCGGCGGGTGTGACCCAAGAAACAAACAAAAAATAATAAAGAAAAATAAAATGACTATTAACAGAAAATAGTTTGTCAAACGTCAGATAGTGGTAGTTTTTTTTTTTGTAATTGCAGAGTAAGCTATGTACTTGCTACCCCAGTAAATGGTTTGCTCTGCTTATAGCCATGTCAATTAACACAAAATATGTATCTCTTAACCTTACGATACACCATATAAAAGATATTAGGGGGTCAGAAAGATAGTAGAGGGTTAAACTGTAGGCACCGCATGCAGCTAGCCCTATTTTGATGCCCAGCAGAAGGTGGTCCCCCAAGCATTGCCAGATGCAGCCCTGAAGGAGCCAACACCATCAGGTGGCCTGGTTATTCCCCAGCATCACAGTACCCAAGCAGCATCACCACATCCCTCCGCCCTTACACAGAACCATCAGCCAGCTAGCTGAGAATTGCAGCGAGGAGCCTTGGGACCTCCTGAGCACCTAAGTTCCACCAATAAAAAGTTTAAATAATCATGTTCCTGACATAGCGGTCAAAAAAAAAAAAAGTAATTACATGGATTCTGACAGAAGCATTTTCAATCCATAGGAGATTTGGGCCAAACCTCATAAAGTATAAATAACTACTGATTTTATCCATTTCTGCCCAAATTTAGGAATATATAGCAATGCATCACATGAATGTTCTTTGCTATTAAAATTCAAAGTTTGCAACTTTCAGTAACTACAATGAGATCCTTGCAAAATATTTAAATTTCAAGGACTAAAATAGGTTGTGGAACACTTTCAAATATTTACATCAACAATTAACAATAAACCCAAGTAGAGCACTCCACAGTCCCTAAGGAAAAACAGAAACTAAAATGAGACAAAAATAGATTAGTTAGTCCAAAGAAAAATCATATTTTTTATTTTTTATTCTACTTCATTTCTAACCTCTGCCTTTAAGGCCCTTTTCTTTTTTCTTGATCCTTAATTTTTTTTTAATTTTAATGAATCACCATGAGATACTGTTACAGACTTAAAAACTTTCATGATTATGTTTCAGTCAAACAATGTTTGAATACCCATCCCTCCACCAGTGCCCATCCTCCACCACCAATGTTCCCAGTATCCCTCCCCGCGCCCCCACCCCTTCCCACACCCTGACTCCGTGTCAGGCACATTCCCTCTTACTCTCTCTCCTTTGGGGTGTTATGGTTTGCAATACAGATACTAAGCAGTCATCATGTTTGGTCCACAGTCTACTTTCAGCATCCATCTACCATTCCAAGAGATTCCTCCAACCATCATTTACTTAGTGGTCCCTTCTCCATCCCAGCTGCCTTTTCCCCCAGCACATGAGATTGGCTTCCAAGACATGGATCCATCCTCTTGACCCTTATCTCTATTGTCCTTAAGTGTTAATCTCATATTATAGTATTTCATTTTCCACAAATGAGTGCAGTCATTCTATGTCTGTCTCTTTCTGACGCATTTCACTTAGCATGATACCCTACATATTGATCCACTTATATGCAAATTTCATGATTTCATCTTTTCTAACAGCTGCATAGTATTCCACTGTGTAGATATACCAGTTTCTTTAACCAGTTATCTGTTCTTGGGCACTCAGGTTTTTTCCAGATTCTGGCTATTGTAAATAGGAAGGAAGGGAGGGAGGGAGGGAGGGAGGGAGGGAGGGAGCCCCTGAGCATCGCCTGGTGTGGCCCAAAAAAACCGAAAAAAAAAAAAAAATTATCAAATGCTTGCATGATACCACTACACCAGCAGCGCAGCTGCTGGGCTGGAGCGATAGCACAGCGGTAGGGCGTTTGCCTTGCACGCAGCCAACATGGCCGACCCGAGTTCGATTCCTCTGCCCCTCTCGGAGAGCCTGGCAAGCTACCTAGAGTATTTGATATGCCAGACACAGTAACAACAAAGTCTCCAATGGAGACGTTACTGGGCCCGCTCAAGCAAATCGATGATCAACGGGAGGGCCTTTACTTTTACTTTTACTATCAAATGCTAAATGAGAGTCCCCTGCTTATAAACGGAACCTAAAATAGATGGTCAAGTTCTGCAATATGAAAACTGCCTCTTAAATTAAGAGGCATTAATTTAACTAATCAATTTCTCAATACTGAAAGATAAAAGTAGGTATTTATTTCTAATCTGGATTTGAACTGTTTATTTTTATCACTTAAAATTCACAAATGACAACTCACTGGTCAGTATGTCTTGTTATTGCACCTTTATTTAGCCTAGTTAACCTTAAATGTGTCTATAACCTTCCTCTTCATAAATCTGTAGGGTACCAATGACCATTCCAATTATTTCAGAGGACTTTTCCAACCAGTTTTGTACTTCAATAAGTTTACTTTAATAAATTTAGTCCACTCTGTCAAGCATAAGGATAGAAAAAAAAAAACACTGCAATATAGGAGAACTAAAACTACACTTACTACAGTATAGGAAAGCTAAAACTACATTAATGTGGCAAGTACTGAGATTTAGGCAGCACAGCTAAATTATCCAGTTTTTGCCTTCACTAGTGGAGGGAAAAACAAATCAACAAAATGCATTATAAAATTCATCACTAGAAAAGATATTTTAAGTTCATCCCCACAACAATGTTTTGTTTGGGTTTGGGGGCCACACCCAGTTGTGTTCAAGGGGCAATGCTGCTATCAAGTGAAAGAAGAAAGATAAAAGTTATTTAATCTGAAAACAGCAAAACAAGACTGGAGGAATAGAACAATGGGTCGGCTGGGCATTTGCCCTTGCCTTGCAGGCAGCCGACCTGGGGCAGATCTGAGTTTAATCTAGGCACGATACATGGACCCACCAGGGATGATTCCTGAACACCAAGCCAGGAGTAAGCCCCTGAGCACTGCTGGATGGCCCCCAAATGAAAACAAACCCTCCTCCCCCGCCAAAAAAATATAGATGCAAAATAATCAGGAAGAACAAATTAACAACTATATTACCTTATTTGGTTTAATTATGTTTCCTAACACTGACCTTCCCTTCCCTGTCACTCTTTTTTTTTTGTTTTGGGACCACACCCAGCAGTACTCAGTGCTTGCTTATTCCTGGCTGCGTTTAGGGATCACTTTTTCTTTTTTA